CTGAGGATGCAATTTTATAAAAATGTTCTGAACTAAAATAGGCTGTGTGATTGCTTGCATGATGGCTTGCCCACTAGCTCTTCTCTGGCTTTTAAATCGTTAATAATTCTGCAGCTTAGGAGCTCCCGTTCTTGCCCTCTGCTGATTGCTGTCATTTGCACCCGCCTGAAGTTCTGAGGGGGCAGGGTTTCAGAAGAAATGAGAAGCCTCAGCAGGTGGGAGTTGTTGTTTTCTGTTGATGGGATCAAGGAAGAAGATTGGATAGACTCTCGAATAGAATTTTCTCTTCATTGGCTTAAACTTAACCACAACATTATGGTTTGAAATTCCAGAACCCTTTCCTTCTATAGTAGTGAAAACCTGTGACATTTCTGCTAATGTGCTGAACAGCGTTCAGGAAATTCAAGAACTACTGCATTATAAAACCAGAAAAGGCTTTGATATGTAGCTAATAGGGTCCCAAGAACAAGAAAATGTGAATATTCTGGTTCTCAGAATATCCATTTGCAAAAATTTCTAATCTAAAGTTCTGAAATTTTTATAGGCTACTTCTCAACATCCTACATAGGAGGTCTCTGTTTTGCTGTCATCTTTGCTTTTATAAAACACAGGGATAAACAGGGACTGCCTTTTACAAACAGAATCACAAACACCTGGTGGTCAAGACCAGCAATACCACTTCTAAAATTTTTCTAACAAAATGAAAACAAAACTTTTGTGGGTCAGCACACATAGCAAAGTTGTTATTTTGAAACAGCAAGGAATTAGAAACAATTTAAATGCCCACCAGTAGAGAACTGGTCTAAATAGTATGGTGTGGCTTATGGCGGCATACTACGCCACTGGTGGTGAAAAACAGGCAACTCTCTGGGTACTGAGTTTCCAGGGTACACTGGTAAATGATACAAGTAACATTTAGAAAAGAGTTTACAGTATTCCAACATTTGTGTAGAAGGGAGGAATACATGTGTGTGCTTGTAAATTCATAGAGTATTTCTGAGAAAACACGGAAGGTATAGGACTTGGTCTCAGGAAGGGGGAAAGGGGCCAGGAATAAAGGAATGGAAGAGAATTTGGGGGGGTTACATTTTTAAAGTTAAATTTACTGGGGTGTCACTGGTGCACACTTTATGATACGTCATCTGGATATTGTGTTGTGTGCCCACCACCCAAAGTCAGATTTTCTTCCGTCCCCGTGTATTTGTCCCCTTTTACCTTTTGTGACCTCACCTCTCCCCCTTCCTCTGGTACCCACCACACTCTTGTCTCTGCCTGTGAGTTTTTGTCTGTCTTGATCGTTCATTTGTTGTTTTCAGTGTTGTCTGCCGTATGTGAGTGAGTCAATACAAGTCTTGACTTTTTCTGTCTGACTTACTTCCCTTAACATGATGGTCTCAAGATCCATCCGTGTTGTCACAGATGGCAGTGTTTCATCTTTTCTTGTGACTTGGTAGTACCTCATCTTCTTTATTCAATCACCTGTCAAAGGACACTGTGGTAATTTCCATGTCTTACCAGAAAAGAATTTTTTTTCTGTCACATAATTTACTACTTCTTAAATTTTATACTGTGAGCATATATTATCCACGAGAAAATGTAATTTGGTGGTTCCTCAAAGAGCTAAACATAGACTAACCATAGGACCCAGCAATGCCATTCCTGGATGTAGACGCAAGAGAACTAAAAGCAGGGACTCAGATACTGAATGCTGGTGTTCACAGAGGCCTCATTCCCAACAGCCAGAGGTGGAAACGACCGAAGTGCCCATCACAAATGACTAGATAAACAAAATGTGGTTTATACATACAATGGTTTATTATTCAGCCATGAGAAGAAGGAAATGTTGACATGTGCTATGACATGGATGAGTCTTGAGGACATTATCTTAAGTGAAATAAGTGAGACACAAAAGGACAAATACTGTATGATTCTACTCAGATGAAATATCTAGAATAGTCAAATCCATAGACACAGAAAATAGATTAAAGGTTACCAGGAGTTGCAGAAAAGGGAAACAGTGGCATCATAGCTTAATTATTACAGAGTTTCTGTTTGGGGTCATGAAAAAGTTTTGTAAATAGATATTGTCAATGAACGGTCACTGGTGCCATTTCCACACCAACAAATACCCAATTTGGGATGCGGTGAAGAATGAAATTTTATTCACTGCAAAACAGCCCCACAGTGATATAGCAAGGCTGTGAAAACAGCGTGGCTGTGAGACCTCCCTGGGCCAGGCCCTTCTCTGGCTAGACAACTCTGTTTTGCTCCTTGCAGGCCTGCTTTGAGCTCTGCTGATTGGCCCTGCTGTGCATTAGTTTGCCCCATTTTGTGCCGATCTGCTCTGGTCTGCGCTGGTCAGCTTCGCTATGCTCTGGCAGGACATCTTCAGTGTTTCAGCTCAGTCGGGGAAATGCAAAGGGAAAGTGGGTCAGAGACAGAGGGGAGCTGGCTTATGTACATAGAAGTCCCTGCCCCTGTTCCCTGATTGGCCTGTCCTCATGCAAATGAAGACTCCAAATCCTTACAACCTGATCTGTCCTGATTGGTCAGAATACAGCCACTCTGGTTGGTCAGAGCTATGCAGCTCCAATTGGATGAGGAAAGCCTCAGTCCCATTGGTTGAAGTAGGACTCCAGGAAACCCTTTATAAGGTCTGGCTCAGATGGCAGCAGCACTGTACAGGCAGGTAGTTCAGCACAGGTCTCTCCCTGAAGTGCATGAGAGGTCCCTGTGTAGAAACACCTGCTAGGCTCTGTTTTTTTGTTGTTGTATTGCTGGCGGGGGGGGTTGTTTGTTTGTTTGTTTGTTTGAATTTGAGCCCAGCTAGCTACCGGGAGCCCTTCTTAGCAGGTGTCTTCTCTCAGGGTTCACAACATCATGATGGCTGCACAATCTGTAAATGTAATTCATACCCCTGCATTCAGGGGTACACTTAGAAATGGTTAAAATGGCCACAATAAAAAATTCAAATTAAATGTAATTTAATCTAAAGAAAAACGTCCTGTGCAGCTTAACCTTTTCTTCCCAGAAACATTCTTCCAACCTGACCTCATCCTTCCAAAGAAAACCATATCAAGTGCATATTGTATGCTAGTATCCTCTATCAGTCACTTCCCAAAATAGAAAGATATGTGGACATACGTCCTGTATTCCAAAAGAGCTTATCACATAGCCTAGGCAACAGATGTGTATCAGTATTGTGTGAGGCCAGAGGGCGTGAGTGGACGTTCTGGCATTGTGCTGTGGGAACACAGAGGCAGGAGCAAACCAGTTTTGATTGGAAGATCCAGGATGGCTTGACTGAGGACAGAGCCTTTTAGCTGCCCTGGAAGAATTGGGATTCCATGGGGCAGAGAAGGGAATTCCAGACTCAAAAAGAGCTGGTGAGCCAAGCCTCCTTAATAGGGAGGCTCACCCCTGAGCAAAGGAGCAGTGGGTCTGGGCCGCTTGTACTGAAGCTGATTCTGGAAAGGCCGTTGAGGCCTGATGGTGTCAGTTTTTAAGTGTCCAGTTTAATTCGTGTGGACTTGTAAATTCTCGCTGTGAGGAAATAGCTCATGTACTCTTTCTGTTCTTCTTTTCTACTCTCCCGTTTACCATTTAGGGATGTGAGCCTCTTACCCTTATTAGAGAGAGTACTTGAACAGTTTGCATTTTTTTAATGATTTATTTTCCTCCTCAAACTGTGTTTGCCATCTAGTGATTAATCCATGCCATTACAACAGCCTACTTCAAATTCCTGGTTTCTCAGCACCAGTTAAGCTCACTGCCTTCTGACCCCTGTTGACTGTGACTTCTGCCCTGAACTTCACTTTCCATATGTCCTGATGCATTTAGAGGCATCAGTAATGAATCTGACCCCTTGGAGACTGGTAATAACACTCACCTGAAAGAAAAATGTTAATTGCTTAGAAGAAATGCACTTCAGAAACTAAGTATAATGAACAGTATAAGTAGGATCTGATTTGAAAATTATCCAGCAGGAGCACCTTTGCGTGAACTATATAGACCTCTGAGACATGTGGCTGTGATTCCAACCCCAGTGGGTGCCACAGTCATTTCCAGGCTTTCTCTTCTTCCTGTGATTCTTCCCAATGGAGACAAAGACTTGAACAGTGTTGCCTCCAAATAGGCAATACCTGTTTGAACGAAAGTCTCCAAATTTCTGACGTTCTGACTGTGGACCAAAGTAAGAAGCTGCACGTTCTCCTCTTTGTGCCATCACTGAGCATGAGGCTACTCTGCAGCCTTTCTTTCAAAGGCTGTTGTTAGTCCGTTGGGAGAGTGGGCCGAAGACACACCGTGTTACATGTGCAGGGGATTCACAAGTCAGCAGTCACTCAGAATTCTCGAAGGACCCAGGGTAACGTTCTGCCTTTAAACCAGAGCTGTCAGAACCGAATCAGAGTTTCAAAACAATGATGACCTCTGCATTGGAAAACAGTCTAGTAGGTCCAGTATGTCTTTTTGCCTCAGAGATCTAAGCTGTGAGAAATCATTCACTCAACAGCTATTAACTGAATGACCCTAGCTCTGAATGCCAGAGCTAGGGTCTAAGTATGGATATAACTTGTTACACATAAAACCATTATGATTGTATTTTTAAATCATGTTTGTTATGAACCCCTGCCCCCCGCCCCCCCAACACACACACTCACACAGACACACACACACCCCGTCCATGAGATCCAAGCCAGGCTTTCTTACGACGAATTTTGTCCTAGGGAGGATTATGCTACAGAGGGACAGTGAGTGCAATGCCCACTTTACTGCCAGGTTCCCTTATTTTTCAGTTTGTCATGAACTGTTAGCCCGGAAAATAGCTTCCGGCCTCCAGTCCAAGAGCACGCCTGCAGCCCTGGGCTGTGATGGATGTACTGCAGGAAGCCATTAGTTCAGTCTCTAAAACCATGCGAAAAGCTTGGCTGTCATTCGAAACTGTTGCTGTATGTATCATTTTTTTGTTGTTGGATCTCTCTGTGTCTGTTTTTTTGCAGGGAAAGCCAGAGATACCGAGTGTATGTTGTGATACCCCTTCTGCCAGGGTTCGAAGGAGACATTTCAACTGGTGGAGGAAACGCTCTCCAGGCCATAATGCACTTCAACTACAGGTGCCAGGTTTCTCAAGTCCTCTGTTCTCAGCGTCCAGTCACGCCCCTCAGCTGGTGAAGGGAATGGAAACATTTGCCCATGTCTTTTCAGTGGATTGCTGAACAAATTAACACTTTTCTTTATTTTACTTTGAATCTTGGTCTGTTTACTAGCTGGTAAAATTCAAGTAGAGCCTACAGTTAGGCCTAAGACATATGGCAAATATAAAAGGACTAAAATATTGGTCTCTTTTATATTGGTTGCCTAGTATGTATATACACATAATTTTATAATACATATAAAATATGTGACATCGATGTATTATAAATATAAAATAATATATAATACATATCAATAAATATATAATATACAAAATATAAAATAATATATACAAAGAGTTCTTGTCTCCATTTATAATACACATATTTATATATACTAAAGAACTAAAATATTAGTCTCCTTTATATTCACATATTTTGTATGTATATGTATTTATATGTATTATATATACATATACATATAGATCTTTATAAATGGACACAAGGACTTTATATGTGTATGTATAAAATATATATCATATATAAATATTAATTTTTTAACTATTGGTAAGCTACCAGTCATTATTGGTTTTTTATTCCTTGTAGTAAGAAAAGAAAAAATGCTTGAAATGCTATGATTTGTGCATGTTTGTTTATGATTCTTCAGGTAGCAAATCCTTCCACAAGGTTGATAATAATAGTCTCTCCTAGTAAAACAGAGCATGAAGGTTCTTTCCTAGCTCCTGAAATTTTAATTCTTTTTCTCCACCACATCTTAGTTAAAATTATAGGAAAGCAGCAAGTTCTGTCCTTGATATTCTAAAAGGCGGAGTTTCCGTATTCAGAAAGGCACTCGAGGCCTCAGCCTTGGCCAGCGGAGCGTCATGTGGAGGGCGGGCTGAGGGCAGGGGCTGGTGGGCTGGTGCAGAGAGGCAGGCTTAGCTCTGGGTCCCGTGGCTGGGAAGAGAATGGGAGTGAAGAGGCAAGTGGTCGGGCCTGGGCCTGACTCCAGCTCCTGGGACGAGCTCTGTGAGCTGCGGTCCGAAAGAGCCCACTCAGGATCACACTCTGAACAAGGCAAAGCAAGGACCCGCACCTGGGTATTTTCTCTTACTGTCCCTTGTTTTTCAGTCCCCTGCAATTGACCACCGTTATAATCAAACCCTTTCTAGAGGACAGAGGGGACCTCATCCAGAACCCCCAGTGTGTAAAGCAGATAAGGGTTCAGAGCCTTCATCAAATTTGGGGCAAGGGCTTAGATGCCTCCCTGCCGGGGACCCCCTCCCCACGGGGCCCTTGTAAGATCTGAGGGTCTTCTGTGCACACTAGAGTGCCCCATGTGCTGGAATTTTTCTAGTCCTCTTGTTTTATTCAGATTTATCGCACTTGTATCTTCCTTCCAGGGTCTCAAGTAAAACTTTTTTTGTTTCCTCTTGAGTAATTTTGCCTGGCAGCAGTATGAGAGAACTTTGTGCTTTGGTCTATGCCCTTAGATGGAAGACTTGGCCATTTCTGTCATCATCTGATTTACAACATGACAGACGAAGCTTTTCAAGTATTTAAGGCCCTGACAGAATGTTTAATTGGATATTAACCACTCTGTTTGACATTTGAATATTATTTTTGGAATATCGTCAATTGTAATTATTTTTTTTGTGACTCTTTTCTTGGGTTTGAACCAGCTGAATGAAATAACATGCTTGGCTTTTGTTCAGCAACTAAAACTATAACCTTTTTTATGCGAAAACATCTCTATTTGCTGGCATCATCTTTAATAATATCAGCATTTTCCAGGCATAACTGTATTTTCAATTACTTTCATAAAGCAAGCAGATGGAGCATAGAATTTTTTATTTTGTCAGTCTTTATAATTCACAGGCTACTATCAGAGTCTTGAAAAAACAAAATCATTAATAGTTAGTTACTCACAACTATATTTTTCACTTTTAAGGGGTTTGCCGACTTTACAGAGATAGCCCAAGTATAACAGTTTCTTTAATTCCAAAATTACTTTGCTAAGTGTTTGCCCTTTTCACCTCTGAAGGCAAAGTGATTGTGTGATTATTCTTATCTATTTGCGGCATTCTAAATTTATCTTCACTGGCACTGAATTTTCTAAGAAAGAAAGTTCATTCATAATCCATCTTTTAAAAATAACATGTCTTCCTGAAATCCATTTTATAACTTTTCCATCTACCTTGTTCCATCAGTAACATTACAAAAGTGATACTCATTGGGTTTTTTTGTTTTTAAAAAAGTCTATGTAGCATCTTTTCATAAAAGCGCTTGTTCTGTTTTTACTTAGCTTGGGGCTATCTCCCACAAATTGGGATTGGCTCCTTTGAAACCTCCATAATTATTTGTTTTCTTTGCATATCTTCAGAACCATGTGCAGAGGAGAAAATTCCATCCTTGGGCAGTTAAAAGCAGAGCGTAAGTAACTGCCTATCTTTTCCTCCATGCTTGCTTTGGTGGTGTATCAATAATCATGAATATCTTCGCAGTGTAATTATAGAACTCTATTTCCGTAAGGTATCCTATGAAATACTTAACAGAGGTAAATTTATTCTCATTAAATTGTCCAAACAAATGTTCAAATGAAGACAACGTGACTTGAGATGCCTAGGTAATAAAAATGAGAGTATCTTATAATGTATTCTGTGACTTATTTTTATTTATTTATGGTCATTGTTTTGATGATGAATGGGATTTGTAAGGCACTTCACACGACCTTCTGTAAACCTTCTCCTGTGACCCTGTGCCATAGTCGTAGGTAGTGAGCAGGACAGCTGTTCTCCCTGCATTAGGGATGCAGACACAAATGTTAACAAGGTTAACAGGTGTTTGTGTGGCCTCCTGTAAGTGTAGGTATTCCAGGGTCTGAATTTTTTAGGGTGTTATACTGAAGGTACATAAGAAAAGAACACATTAATACCTTTCAGTTTCATAATCCTTCATATAGTCAAAGGCACTTTCTTAAATAACTTCTCTCTTTTTTTTAATCCTTGCCTGAAGACATGTTTATTGGTTTTAGAGGGGGAGGGAGAGAGAAAAAGAGAAAGAGAAGCATCACTGTGAGAGAGAAACAGCTATCAGTTGCCTCCCATATGTGCCCTGATTGGGGGCCCACCCACAACCTAGATATGTGCCCTGTCCAGAGTTCGAACCCACAACCTTTTGGTGAATAGGACGATGCTCCAAGCAACTGAGCCACCCAGCCAGGGTTCTCATGTAGCTTCTTAAATGATCCTTACACATAGTTCTTGACTACCATAGATTATAACTGCAGGTCTACTTGCCTATATCTCTGTGAACTGACTCTTAATTTCAGCACATAGTAGAGGCTTAATGGTGTTCTGTACCCTATGCAACAGGTCTGCAAGTTTCCATAAAAAATAAGCTGGAGTCAGAACCCAAGTTGTCTTACCTTCAGTTCATATTTGGTCTAGATTGTGAAAAGTTGAAGGGCCACATTAAAAAGACTAGATTTTATCCAGAAGGAGATCCAATGAGGTTGATGGAAGCCTCTGATTCCTGGAATGGTCGCACCAAAGTGATGTTGATATGAAGAGTCACTTACTGTAGGTAAGCCAAGTAGAAAGAGACATGCTGCCGATGAGAGGTAATGGCACACTGGCAATGGAAAGAAAGGATACGTATAAGACTGGAGGAGGACTCGAGTAGGGGCACGGGCGCAGAAGAGTAAGGGAAGCAGATAATCCGAAGAGTTTCAGTCCGACTGGCAGGGAGAATGGAGCTGCCAATGGGGGGCCTGGAGAAGTGAGGAGGAGCCATCACAATGACATGATGCCATGGGGTGTGGCCTTCAGATATGCTAGTCACCTCAATTTTTTGAGGATTTAATGCACTGGATAATGTATCAGAATATGGGGGGAAAATATTAGTCCTTCCATGTATGTATATTTTTCACTTAAAGAATTAGGACATTGCCCTGACTGGGTGGCTCAGTTGATTGGAGCATTGTCCTGTACACCAAAACATTGCAGGTACAATCGCTGGTCAGGGCATGTATGAGAGGCAACTGATTAATGTTTCTTTCTCTCTCCCTCCCTCCCTCCATCTAAAAATCAATAAACAAATCCTTGGGTGAGAATTAAAAAATTTTTTAAAAAAATAATTAGAATATTACTAGGAATGGCATAGTTAGGATTTCCAAATATTCACTCCTACATAAAAGCAACTAAAACACAAAAAATATAAAAATTACCTTTTTCGAACTCTGGAAATCTACCAAAGGCATGTGACACTCGGAGGAGTGTTTATTGAAGAAAGATATCAGCATCTTGGTAAAAACAGCAAGCTTTGGGGCATTTTAATTTGTCATATGCCCATTCCCATCTCCTCCGTTCTGCAGTAGCCATGAAAACCAGCTCATCACTCTGAAAACCAGCAGCCTAGTAGCCACTGGAAAGAGCCTAATGGGCTTGAAGATCCTAAATGCTGATCTGATAATTGGGGTAGTTCTGATAATTGTCATAATTTGACCTGACAGTGTGAGTCTTTGAAACAACTAGTTTAACTAAGTTCTTCCTTCAAAGAACTAAAAGAAATGATATGTAAAGAACTAAAGGAAGTATAAAAACAATGTATCCTCAAGTACAGAATATATAAACATAGGATTTTTTAATTAAAAAGTTTCTATAAAAGTTCCTTTCTTATAATAGAGGAATGACAGACATACGCATTTGGGAGTTGAAAAGTATAATGACTGAAATGAATGCACATTGGAGGGGCTCAGTAGCAGACTGGAGCAGGCAGAAGAGTCAGCGACTTGCAGACAGGTCCATTGAGGGTGTCTGGTCTCAGGAACAGAAAGGAAAGATAAGGAGAAAAGCGCGCAGGGCCTCGGAGTCCTGGACACCATCATCAGGCACACCGACACACATGTAATGGGAGTCCCGGAAAGACAGGAAAGAGAAAAGTGCATATAGAATATTTAAGGAAATAATGACTGAAAACTTCCCAAATTTGATGAAAACATGAATCTACACGTCCAAGAAGCTCAACCAAATCTAAGCAAGATGAACCTAAAGAGAGCCACGCCAAAACACATTACAATCAAAATAGTGAAAGACAAAAACAAGAGGAATCTTGAAGCAGCAAAGGACAAACAAATAATAAGGAAGATTAACAGCCAGTTTCTCATCAGAAACCATTCTGTCATTTGTTTCTTTGATAATGTCCTTGGGGACAAATGAAAGCCTTTATGTTTGATGAAATTTTTATGTGTGTGTTTATGGTGTACAATCCAAGAAACCATTGCTTAATCCATTATGAGAGAAAATGTTTGCAAATCATAAATCTGATAAGGAATTGGTATCCTGAATATACAAAGAACACTTACAAGTCAACAATAAAAAGCCCAGTTTTTAAAATGGGGTAAGGATCTAAGTAGACATTTCCCCCAAAGAAGATATATAAATGCTCAATAAACACATGAAAAGATGCTCAACATCATTAGTGTTTAGGGAAATTCCAGTAAAAACTGCAAGCTAGTACTTCATACCCACCATGATGGATATAATTTAAAAAATAAAAAAAGGGATTGACAAGGACATGTTGATACTGGAACCCTTATGCAATACTGTTGGGAATTCAAAATGGTGTAGCTCTTTGAAAAGCAATTGGATAATGCCTCCAAAGTTAAACAGAAAGTTATAATATAACTCAGCAGTTCTGCTGCATAATACCTACCTATGAGAGTGCAAAACGTGTGTCCACACAAAAACTTGTACATGAATGTTTAGAGCAGCATTATTTATAGTAGCCAAAATGTGGAGACAACCCAAATGTTCATTAGTTGGTGAATGTAGAACCATAGTGTGTTTATCCTTACAGTGGAATATTATTTAGTTAATAAAGGGAATGTATTGATACATGCCACAACATGGATGAACCTTGAAAATATTATGCTAAGTGAAAAGAAACCAGATGCAAAAGGCCACATATTGTATAATTGCACTCTTTATGAAGCATTTCAACAGGCAAGTCCATGGACACAGGGAAGCAGAGTCATCCTTGCCGGCATCCAGAGAGAGGGCGGGACAGAGAGTAACCCCTGATACATATGGTGTTTCTCTGGCGGCTAATAAAAATGTCTTAAAATTAGACAGTGGTGATAATTGTACAGCATGTCAATATACTTTAAAAAACAGTGATTTGTACGTTATAAAGGAGTAAATTTTAGGGCATGTGGGTTTTTAAATGATTTGGAAGCTTTCAAATAATGCATTAAACTTATGTGTATAATACTGATGTATGCATATTGGGTGCTGAAGAATTTTTCACTATTGGTTGCTCAGTCTAAAACAACTTTAGAAAAAACAGTAATATTAATTTTAATGACACAAATAAAAAACTTTGGAAACAACTTCCCGCATAAGACATGTATGTCACTAATAAAAAATACTTTGCTAAGTTTTACCTAACTGCATCCAGGACAGAGAAGATGTAGCAGAGCATTATCCTTAACTTGATTTCCTAACAGCTTCAAGTGAAGATGATAGTGAGGGAGTAAGACTCTAAAAGACAGACTGTTGAAACAAAGTCAGGAAGGCCATTCAGTGCTGACAGTGGCTAGTAAGATGCAAAGTGAGGTTATAGGAAAATAACAAGTCAGAACAAGCCTGCTTAGGTTCTCAACCACAAAAATGGCCTGAGCTTATTGTAAAGCGTTTCCCTGGGCTCTGGGCCCTTTCCCTGCCTTTGCCTATTCAGAGGGAAAATTGAATTTTAACACAAGAAGTAATTTCAATGTTAAGCCCTCTTCTGAAAAGATTTCCAAGCACACTGGGAACAGGTCAAAATCAGACATCTCAGTGGGGAAAATATGCATACTCTAAACAGGAAAGAACAGATTAATGACAGAATGCCCCTTTCTGAGGTGCAATGTTCTGTTGTTGGTTTTGTTTCTGTAAATGCAGAGTGGGTTTTAAATCCATGAACCAGCTAATCTCTAATTGGATGGAAAAACTATAGCTCTGTACCAGGTCAGTTCTTTAAAAATAACAGAACTGCCATTGTGAATATGTTAAAATTGCAGCTATTAGTGTATAATTATCTGATACTCCAGTCTTCAATGATTTAGTGTTTAATTTAAAGCATTTCTTTATCATTTTTACAATTTTTGTGAGTTATGACATTTCAGCATCCAATTTAGTATGATTTAACAGAAGGTCTGGATGTATTCGATGAAGATTAGAAATGTACAAATATAAACTGCTACAGGTTTTCAAGTAACAAAGGCATGTGGCAACCCTTGAAGTCCTTTTACAAAATTTTCTTACAAATATTGAGCCTGCTGCATTGATTTTCTCATCTTTTGAGGTATATATGTACAATGTTCATAACAGATATGTCCTAGGAGCCTGTATAAACCTCGAGATTCTGAGATACGGTACCTCCATGACATATAATTTGGAAACCTCCTGATATATTTCCATCTGTTGCTTCATATTAATGCTTGTGCATGCTCCTGGCTTTCTCCCATTTTCTTCAGAAGGTACTTGTTTCCTCAGAACCACAAGAAACATCACCAACGTTGTATCTATGATGTGTCGGTCCAGTTTTCTTCGCAGAACAAAACACTAATGGGAGTAATTTCTCAACTTGCTTTTTTCCTGCTAGATGGGCACCCTACTGCATTTGACAGGCCATGCTGGGAATCATCCAAAGTGTTCACTTTCTGGCTGGCAACCCTTATCCTTCTTTTGAGTCCTGTTGTGGCTACTAACCCTTCACCTTCTTCTCGAGGGCATTTTTCACAAACAAATTAAATTTTTATCACTGCATAGAGCTATTTTACAGTCAAGGATATAGGTTGGACCCTGTGGGCTCTGAAGCTCTCCGGCTAATTGATAGGTTGCTGATACTCTCCAGACTTGCATTGAAATGGCACAAATCCATGCTTAGAAAATTACAAATTACTAGGTCTTAATTACTAGCAACTTTTAGGTTGCTATTAGTCAGTATCACTGATGTTTAAAAAAATACTTTAAAATAATTTTAGACTTCTAGTTTCCAGAACTGCTATATACGCTCCACCCTGATTTCCCAAATGTTAACATTTTACCTTTTTGCTTCATCATTCTCCTTTACCAGATAGGTGGGCATTTTTCCCCTGGACCATTCCGGAATGAGTTTCAGCCATGATACCCATAAACCCCTAAATACATAAGTAGGGATTCCTGAAAAAAAAAAGACATTTTTAAAGCAGCTATAACTCAATTATCAAAATAAATGAACTTGACATCAGTGAAATACTATTATCCTGTTATAGACCTTACTGAAATTTCACCAGTTGTCTTCCTGATACCCTTTATAGCAAAACGGGGGATGTTTTGTTCTGACTCAAGATTCAGTCAACAATCATGTGTTGCATTTTGTTGCCATGTATTTTTATTTTTCTTTAATCTGAAATAATCCCCCAATCTTTTTTTGGAAGGTGGACACTTTTATGAACTTGATATTTTTGAAAAGTACAGACTCCTTATTTTATAGAGAAGCCCTCAGTGCGGGTATATTCATTGCTTCCTCACGATTAGGTGCAGGTTATGCACTTTCAGTGGAAAGGTTACAGAAGTGATGGGTTCTTCCTCATGGGCCGTGTCAGCCGGAACACGATGTTGGGGTGCCCCACTACTGGTTTCATTAACGGGCCGCCGAGTGAAGGTGGTATTTGTCAGGTTCCTCCACCATAAGATTACTTTTTCCCTTTGTAATTAGTAAGTATTTGTGGAAAAACGCTTTGAGGCTATGTAGAACTCCTGCTTCTCATCAAACACCCAATAATTTTTAGCATGTATTAATGATTCTCTAATGAATCAATTATTACCACTCTGATTCAATTATTACCATGACAGTTGCTAAATGCTGGTTTTCTAATTCTATTATTTCTTCTATATTTATTACTTTCTTCTTAATTTCTTATTTGCAATTCTACTTATTTGCAGCTGTAATGAAAGCTTTCCCTTCTATATTTATGTATTTATTCTTGTTTTTATATTGGCATTGGATATATTGGTTTTTACATTATCCTGCTTTTTCTTGCCAATCCCGTAGGTAAGAAGTGGTTTCTCAGTGTAGTTTTAATTTACATTTCTATTATCATAAATGAGGGGGAATATCTTTTCAAATGTATGTTTTTGTGTGTGTGAATTATCTATTCATGTCTTTCACTCATTGCTCTGTCAAGATTTTGAGCTGTCTCCCATTAATTATTGAGTTCCTTATATGTGTGCACCCTTCGCTTTTTATCTGTGACACATACCGCAAATACTTTCTCCCACTTTGTCATTTGTCTGTTGTTTTTTTGCTTGTGGTGTTTTGTATCTTGAAAATGTGTGTGTGTGTGTGTGTGTGTGTGTGTGATTTTTAATTGAGCCAAAGTTGTCCACCTTATTTTTTATTGCCTCTGGACAATGTCAAGCCTTCCCGACACTCAGGCCATACAGGAACTTACCCGGTTTCTTCTGACACTGGTATTCAAATGCTGATGCAATTGTATGAGTGATTTTTATATAAAAGTCTGAGTCCTTTATGTAAAAATGCTTTCTCTAGTTATTTGAGATGCAGCCTTTATGTACATATGCAAAATTTCCATATGCACTTGGATCTATTTCTGGACTTTTCTGTTCCATTCCCAGGTTCAGTTGTCTATTCATAGGCCAGTTCCCCACTGTCAATGACACAGACTTTATGGCATGTGTTAATATCAGATGTATGGGATGGGATTCATGTCCCCCCATACTTTTCTTTCCCAGTTTTATCAATGACCATTCTTGAATGTTTATGTTTTCATATAAACTACAGCATCAGGTTTTCTAGTTCCATGAAAACTTGTTGGTGTCTTACTGAGATTACCTTGTAAGTAACCTTACATGTGTAAGTTAATCTAAAGAGAGTTGGGATTTCTTTTTTTGTTGTTGTTTATGTTGAATTGTTCTATCCCAGAGCAAGCGATGTCTTTTAATTTGTTCAACTTTAATTCTTCTGTCTTTCAATAGTTTAAAATTTTTCTTCATAAAAATTTTGCACATTTATTGTTAAGTTTATCTTTAGGTGTTTTACCTTCTCTGTCACCATTATAAGTGAGGCTTTGTCTATGATTATATCCTCTGAATGGTTATTGTTTGTGTGTTTGGAGCCTATTGATTCCTAAATTTATATTCTATTATGCTTATTCTTTTATTGTTTGAGATAATTTTATCATCAAGTCCACAAGTGTACTATTATATTATCTATAAATGGAGATGGTTTTACTTCTTAAGTGATTTATTTAGTCTAAATGCATTGGCTGATGTCCCTAAGGTAATATATACACACATACACAGATGTACATATATAGTTCATGTATTATACATATATTAATTTTTACACATGTTAAGAAAGTACTCCTCATTTCCTACTTTGTTCATTGTTTATGTGAAACTTCAGAAATGCATCTCTACACATGATGTACCAGGGCACCAGCACATCAGTCCCACGGACACAGCTGCAGGGTCGCCCATATGTGTGAGGGGAGGGTTATCTGTAAGGGGAGGGTCTCTGTGTGTAACATATAAATAAATTTATTTCCGAGATACTCACACTTAATAGGAACACTGAATGACACCAACAATAAAATAGAAAACATTGCTAATACGTGGAAACGTCGGTCAGTAGAACATGAACTACATTGGTTCTACTAAAGTGCTTCAGATTCCAATAAAGAAATAATAAGATTTATGTTCTCTTTCTATTAGAATTTGTGATGGTTTGGTTCCACTTTATTTATTCTCGTATCAGACTTTGCTTATCCCAGACAACTACCATGTAGGAGAGGGACCGTACCGCCTGCGACAGCCAGTCGTGTCAGGGTGGCGGTGATGCGGTGGCTGGGTATGGGATGCATTTCTCCTTATCATAGGAAAGGCCCTCACATGAGGGGAGGGTAATGAGTTCAAGTGCAAACCTGGTTCTGCTTGCTTTGAAGAAAAGTCTCCAAAGTCAAATGTAGTCAGAATTCCTTCATTTCCTCATTTTCATAATTTAGAAGGAGGAGCGTCATTTAATTGCCACCATTTATATTTACCCAAAGTCTGTAAAATATAACTGCTCCTTCGTGCTGCAAACTGTACATACCTCAGGCAGTTTGGGCACACATCTTGCATCTGATTTCAGCTGCAACAGGTGGTGAGCAAGACAGGTGCAAAGGTCACACCAAAGCCTTGGCTTATCTGCTCGGGCTCAGCTTTGATGATCGCGCTGCAGCAGTTACTCACCAAATCATTGAAATAAAATGTTCATATTCAAATATACTTTTGGATTGCCTCAGCAAAAAGAAGACATGGAAGCACTTCTGTATGATTTTTTAAATGTGTGTGTACGAGATCAACAGTATAAAATTACTCAGATAGCAAAAATAGATCCTGGGCGAATCCGGGAATTACACACGCACGTTGACACGCACATTATACAGTCTATTCTTAACCTATTTAAGTAATACCATTGTTTTGGTAAAATTGAATGTGCCGTTACTGAGCTTGGTCATATTAATTTTAGTAATTTCTCTTTAAACTTACAGTTGGCAATCAGTGGATAAATTACATATCGTTCTGTGGTCTTAGAACACACGCTGAGCTTGAAGGCAACCTAGTCACTGAGCTCATCTATGTCCACAGCAAGTTGCTAATTGCCGATGACAACACTGTTATTATTGGTAAGTACATGGTCTCTGACTGTGTTTCTTGCTGGTTGACTTCAATCATGCAGAAATCTTTCTATTCCTCTGTGCTTTCTGTGCAGTGGAGAGGGACAGTAACGTGCCATCTAAAACATTTCTGAAGGGATCTGTTTTGCTTACAACTATCTAATCCCCATTTTTATCTGTGAAGAAGCACAGGCCCAGAGCAATTAAATGACCACTGTGTAAATGACAGTATCCGAAGGCGGCAGCTTGGCCCAGCAGAGCCATAGTCGGCCTGCTCCCTTTAATTCTTTTCCATTCCTTATTTTTATTGAATCCAAGTGCCTGCATGTGGGGACTCAAAGGAGGAGAAATGGATGGGAAAATGGTCACACATGAGTACCTGGTGGTGATGTGTGTGTGTTTGCCCCCCACCCACCTCACCATTGTCGCAGATCTCAAGTTGTGGGAGGGTCAGAATCAGGAGGCTATTGAAGTACTGTTGCCTCCACGATGTCTGTGTTTTCCCTAGAGTCTTTGTTTTGGGTGTCGTTAAACAGGGTGCAGAGTGGACCGGCTTGGTTGGTGTGAGCGTGGTTAGGGGGAATTGTGGAGTAATGGTATGATGTAGCTCTGGAATGAAGTCTGCCGTCTTTTTTTGTCAAGGATACACAACAGAAATCTCCAGAGTCCTCTCCTCACCAGCAGATTCGTGAGAGAGTTACTGGTTGTGCATTCTACCCAGATTAGATCAGCTTGACCAGAGGGATGGGTGTGCAGCTTTGTTGTTTTATACACATGGAAAGCTTTATTTTCCCATCACTGAATTGTCTTGCTTTCTAATATTATGTTACATATACAGAGAAAGGCCAGGAGGAGAAACAGTATTAATAATCAGCCAGATAAATGAGTTGACAAGGGCTGGGGGTAGGTTGCTTAGAGAGACAATGTGTCCCACTATTGGGGATTCTGCTCATCTGTTTTAAATGAAATGTAGTTTTTCATCTATTATAAGATACTTCCCTATTCCTTAAGAAACTAAATGTCCTGGAGCATTTTGAAATGTCTTGGCAGTAAATGTAGACATCTTCCACTGATAAAAGGGGGAAAAAAAAGCCTCAGATCTAGGAGTAATGAGACTGCCTTATCTGGAACATGATTGGAAAGAAAGAAAAAGTTGTTCTGAAGCCAAAAATTGTATAGACCACAGTGTGGTCTCACCACCACCACCCCCTACCCCCCATACACACACACAATGAATACATATACTGGGCATTTAAGAAAAATGTCTTGCATCTCTGATCTCTTGCTCTATAGGGATCAGAGCTCTATAGGGATTTACTTACTCCCCTATTTCACCCAGAACAAGGTTTCTCTGATTCCCCTGAAGCTACTCTGGCCTTGCCCTTCAGAAGCCAATCTCAGAACATATTTATATGAAATTTGGCAAATGACAGTGGGAAGGAGAAATACTAATGTTTGCTGAAATGGAAAAACAAACGAAGTGAAATAAAATTCACTTGATCTCTGTAGAAAGATTTTAGAATTCTAGAAGTAAAAATTGACAGATGTAAATATTTTACTTTTAAAGGTCATTTTGATTTTCAACCTGTTCTGTTTTACTTCAAGTATAAAATGCAAAGTAGTTTTCAGTAACAGAGCTATCAGTTAAATAGGTTTGTTGGGGTTTTTAATTGACAAACTTTGTAGAAAGGTCTCTGAACCCTCCAAGGTACAGTTCATTTAGGCTATCAGTCATAGGTTAATTTTGCACATAATTCTTCCTCCCTCTCTGGAGACTGGAAATGTGGCCCTGGGAGCATGCAGAGGTCTTCCTTTGGGATCTAGGGGCTGACTTCTCTTTCTCCTTCCCACAGGGCACAACAGATTCCCCCCCCCCCCCGCCCCGGGGAAAATTCCAAAGATCCCCTTGCTCTTGTTATCTCAGTAGAAGCTGGAAGAGTCAGCAAGTTTGCTGTTGCTGCTCGAACCCATCAGCCCAGTTTTAGTTCCTAACACAGAGAGCGATATTGAAAATTCTCAGAGAGGAGTTTGAGAAGTTCTGGAAGAATATGTTACAGGTGTTAAGCAAGTTATCTCAAAGCTTAAGAGTTAAAGTAACCCATGATTAAATTTTCTAACATGGGAAACTTATGCCAGAATTATTGAATGATTGATGTAAGAAAAGTGAGTAAGTGTTTATCCTCATTGTTCCCTCAGGAGGAAATACTTGTTGTCTTCTCACCCTAAAGTCTCTTTGGTGCAGAACTTCCATTGTCTGTTGGCCTGAGCGACCCCGCTGGTTATGAAACCTGTGACCAAATCCAGTTTTCTAACCCATCTTAATGTGGTCACTGAGCCAAGTTAACACTGATTTGCTTTCCTAGCCAAAACAAAGCTATCCTTACGTAGAATTTAAGTCCATCGTGTTGACTATGTGAAGTGAGTTTTCGGTGCTCACTAATCCAGTGCAGAGTACAGTGGGGAGTGTCAAGCAGGAATCACACACTGTGCTGCCCCACAGAACTCCTGGGCCGGAGGGGCGGCTGGCCTCCTGTCCACCTGACACCAGGAACATCAGGTGCAGACTGCAGACCTGGAGCGGGCGAGGGTGGGTAGGTGAGAAACGCGGCAGGCTTGCGTGGCTGACGAGAGGCTGTGGTTGCAGGGCTGCCCAGGTAGAGAGGGGTTCCACTTGATCCCGTGTTGTGGGTCCGTCTCAACCCTGACTGCTATAGAACTGCCTGGGGAGCTTCTAGAAACTTATAATTATGGAGAAGTTTATTTGTGTCTGCAATTTATCTTAAAACAGATTTTTTTAAAGAATGGATTAAATGGATAGATTTTTTTTAAAGGGGTGGGGCAATATTGAAAGTGTCTGGTTTCTACTTGCAGAAATTCTCATAAAATTGGTCTGGTCTGGGGCCCGGACATCGAGGTGTTTTTGTTTTTCTCTTTGGCACCAGTATTTTTCAGAGCTTCCTAGGCAATGCTCACGGGCACTTCAAGCTGAGAATTTCTGAACTGCAGGCACAGGGAACACGAAGGGGGTGGGAAGTACAGGATAGCTGATTTGGGCTCAACAGAAAAATCCGTTTTCCTTTAAAACACTAGACCGCGGCACAGTGGGTATGTTCCTTGTCTATGACTGCTGCAACACACGGCCACAGACTTAGGGGCTTGAGACAGTGCAGGTTTGTTGTTCTGTAGGTTCAGGGTCCCACACAGGCTTCCCTGAACTGACGTCAGGGTGCCGGCAGGGCTGCCTTCCTTCCGGAGGCTCTGGGGGAGAATGCATTTCCTCGTCTTGTCCAGCCTTCAGAGGCTGGCCACACTCATGACCCCCTTCCTTCATCTTTGAAGGCAGCAGTATTATATGTCTCTGCAGGTTCCCCAAAGTTCCAACCCATTTTCTTTTAAGGATGCCTGTGATTATGATTAAGGATGCCTTACCCACATAATCCAGGATAATTTCCCTATTTTAAGGTCAGTTGAATAACATCCTTTATTCCACATGCACCCTGAGTGCCCCTTTGACCTGTGACGCGACAGATGCACAGGCTTTGGGGGATAGGACACGGGCATCTTTGGGGGCCATTGTTCTGCCTGCCACAGGCGCAGTCACGATTTCTGAAATGAGATGGGAAAAAAGCACACACCGTAAAGGGAAAGATAGATAAATCCAAATGCATTAAAATTCAGAACTGTATTCATTAAAAGACACTATAAAGAGAATAAGAAGATAAACCACAAACTAGAAATAGATATTTGCAGCACACTTAGTATTCAAAACATATAAAGAATTCCTATAAATCAGTATGAAAAGATAACTCCAAGAAAAAAAAAATAGCAAAGGAACTGTATAAGAACATCACCCAAGCCCCGGCTGGTGTGGCTCAGTGGATTGAGTGCTGGCCTGAGAACCAAAGGGTCACTGGTTCAATTCCCAGTCAGGGCACATGTCTGGGTTGTGGGCCAGGTCCCCAGTAGGGGGTGCATGGGAGGCAACCACACATTGATGTTTTTCTCCCTCCCTTCCCGTATGTCTATAAATAAACAAAAAATCTTAAAAAAAAAATACCTGGCTGGTGTAGCTCAGTGGATTGAGCATAGGCTGTGAACCAAAGCATCGCAGGTTCGATTCCCAGTCAGGGCACATGCCTGGGTTACAGGCCAAGGCCCCCAGCAACCGCACATTGATGTTTCTCTCTCTCTCTCTCTTTCTGCCTCCCTTCCCTCTCTAAAAAGAAATAAATAAAATCTTTTAAAAAAATCTTTAAAAAAGACTTAAAAAAGAACGTCACCCAAGAGGATGTATCTGAGACATATCATATTTATATATATGAAAGCTATTCATCCTCGTTAATATAATAATGAAACAACAGTTTTTAAAAATGCCAATTAGCAAAAATTAAAAAGTCGTCCAATCCAAGTACTGCAGGGCTGTGGAGCACCAGTCTCCAGTTCTGCAGACGGAGCCTGGGCAGACTCTCACGTGTGTACACCAGGAAACATGCACACACTGTGTGCAGCTCAAGCGTGCATCACAGCAAAACCATGGAAACAACCGGACTTCCATCTGCAGTAGAATGAATAAGCCCTGGTGTGTTCATTCAAGGAAAATAATAATTACAATTGTGCACAGATAAATCCCTGAGACATAACATTGAATGAAAGATGCACATCTCAAAAGGTTAGGTAGGACTCCCTTCATATAAACCACAGACATGCAGAGTATAATGGACACCAGATTCTCTATCGAGTCTCCCACTTGGTAAGAGGAGGGAGGGCCTGCGTGGAGGACACCTGAGGGCTTCTGGGTGGTTGTGTTGTTTTTCAGCCCGAGTGTTAAATTCAGTGGTGTTTGGTATTCCTAAGTTTTATTTCTATGTATGAAAATATATATATTTTTTCATATGCTTTTTTGTATTTTGGTATATTGCACAAAGTTTTAGAAAGGTCACTAATACTAGCAGACAATGAGGGTATGAGGGGGATAAATGGTAATGAAAAAATACAATAAAAAATCATTTTCTAAAAATTAAGTGGTTTTAAATTTTCAGAGCACTGTCCTAATAAAAACAATAGATTGCAGTTACCATAAAAGTATTACATGAATAAAGAGCATATTTTGTAAACAATTAAAATTCTGAAAACGTGTATAGACTAAAATGTCAGAATTCCCCGATTGTCCTCCCTCTCTTTGCCAGAAGGCTTTCCCCCTTCTTAACACTTTACCGTGTCTCTCTCTAGAACCCTGCTGTCTCTTCTTCCTCGTGTTATACAGAAATGGAATAGTGCTGCATCTGCTGCTCTGAACTGGGTTTTTAGAATATGGGAATGTTTAATAAGAACAGAGGTAGCGTTTACATCCCTCAATATCTCATTTCCAGTACCTCATTCACTACATTCATCTAAAATTTTCTCAGCTCTTTCTTCACATTCCTGTTAAATAGTAGCCAACACTTACTCAGAGTCAGTGCCCCAGGTAATTTCAGATCAGCCCTCGAAATATAAGAACCACTCCTCTCTCTCTAAGAATTCCAGTTCAGAATGCCAGCAATGTATTTCTGACTTTAGGAGTAGGGCCCACCTTGGTGGGAGGGGGACTGGAGGACTGGTGTAAAAAGGGGTGTGTGTGTGTGAGAGAGAGGGAGAGAGAGAGAGAGAGAGGCTTCCCATCCCCTGTTTCCCAGACAGTGGAGAGCAGTGATGACCACCCAATCCAGCTGCCTGCATCCCAAGAGCATCCTCTGCTGGAGACCAGGGGTAGTGAAGTCCCAAAACAGTACCGTGGGAATTGTTTTCCTCTCCATGTTGCAGTTCACACACACGGTGAAGGGTGATTAACCCAGAGAGGAGGCTTCTCTGATACAAATCCTACTTGCCAGCAAATTGTCCCTTCCTATGACAGTGTTCTTTGGTGCACATATTACAGAATTAACAAGTACTTGATAATAATGTCAATAATAATTAACATTTGTACAGCAGTTTGTAGATTAGTAAGTGCTTTCACATGATCTTAATTCTTACAAAGAGGCCACAAGGTCTGTATTATGATCCCAATTTATAAAAAGCAAATTGAAGCTGAGAAAGATTAAATAACTTTGCCCATGTTAATGTTGGGCCAACTGTCCAGCCTAAAGATATGACTATGAATTTTCTAGTGTAATCAAAAAGTGTATGTATAAAGGACTCTGTTGCTAATAAAACAAAATGTTTCAAGGTTGTCACCTTACAGTGCTCTACTAGTACTCTCAGATGTCTGTGAGGTACTCCATCCATCCCTAGGGTCACCGTGGGGCACCACTCATGCCCATAGCTATCATAGATTTGTATATGAACCACGTGACAATTTTGTGGCAAAGGGCAGTAAAGTCTCTTCAAGATGGGACAGCTTTTTCTCCTGTACAACATCCTTCCTCAGGGCTCAGGGCAGGCTGCTATGGCTTACACTGTGACGGTCCCCATCACAGAGAGTAGCCAGTGCTCCTGTTCAGCCCGACCCTTCTGCTCCACATCTGCAGAGGCAGTGAAGTATGTGACCAGGGCCAGAGGAAGGAGAAGGAAAAGGAATCAGCCAGGCTTCTTCTGTGGTCTGTAGAATACCACAAGGATTCAGAAGAATGAATCCGCAGTGATTAGTGAGGAAAACATGATGGGGTTTCTGAAGACAAGGCAGAGGAACACAGAAAGCACAGGTTCATTTGGACTTAAAAACATAATGGAGGAAAGTTGATATAGAAGCTGTTGGCATGCCACACAAGTGAGGCGAGAGAATGGAAAACCCAGAGTCACTAATGATAATCTGTTTGGAAAGTAGTCTCTATTGATTGTGAAGGTACTCCTGGGTTTTGACGCTCATAAATACATGACCATGAGTTAAAGCCTACAGAGCCTGATTAAGTCTAAAAACTGACTGAGGTGATCTGAACTGGTAAGCATGTCTGTTTTTCTTCATATGTTTAATGATTATATCAGTTGCAGTCCTTTGAGCCACAAAATACAAAATTCAGCTAGAAATGTGTGAAACAGAAGTTAAGAAAGATCTAGTGTTGGCTAGTTCAGGGACTTAAAGATCCAGAGTCTCCCTTCTTTCTGCTTGTCATCTTCAGCTTGTTTGTCTCCTAGTGGTTACAAAATGGCTGCAGAAGCCCTTGGAATCACACACTCATCCATCCCCTCAAGCCAAAATGTCCAAAGGCTTGTGTCATTTTATGAAAAGAAAAAAAACTTTATCAGAAGCCCCCAATGGACTTTTCTTTACGTCGTACTGGCTAGAATCATGTCAAGTGCCCATTCCTAAGTCAGTCATTGGCAAAAATAATGAAATTGCAACAGCTGGCTTAAACTGATCAAGATGCACTCATGGGTTAGAGAGGGCCCCCCTTTCCTTAAAGCAAAATTAGAGTTTCGTTAGCAAGGAAGAATTGAGTGGGGAGGGCAGCTGGCAGAGTCTGCCCTGGTGGGAAGATTGTTCAGTTTCTCTGTTTCTCCTTACAGGCTCTGCCAACATAAATGACCGAAGCATGCTGGGAAAGCGTGACAGTGAAATGGCAGTCATTGTGCAGGACACCGAGACAGTCCCTTCAGTAATGGACGGAAAAGAGTACCAAGCTGGCCGGTTTGCCCAAGGACTCCGGCTGCAGTGCTTCAGGTGGGCCCTCTAGAGCTCTGTCTGTCTGACCGTGGCTCTGCCACAGGGGCGCGGGACCCAGCCCAGCCCCACGCACGGTCCGCGGGTTCTCCTTCTCTAGTACAGTGTCTCTCAGAGCACAGGGTGGGGACTGCCGGGACTGTGTGACAGAACACAGATTTGTGGCACATTTTTCTATTTTAGAAGTTTTTATTATGTTTATGTATGATAGAGGAAACTAGCATTTTAAATCTATGAATGGACCTGGGACCAGGCCTGGTCAAACCATCTAGTGTCTATTTAAGTTTTTTATAGTGAGCTCATTTTTAGAAATTGAAATAGTTCCAGTAATACAAAGATATAATGAAAATTATTCAAGGAAAATGCCAAAAATAGTGGTATTAAAATTTATTCTTTTTAATATTTACTTACTGAATTTAATGACAAGACATTGGTTAATATGTAGGTTTCAGGTGTACAATTCTATAATACATTACCTGTATATTGTATTGTGTGTTCACCACCCCAAGTCTCTTTCCATCACCATTTATCCCCCCTTAACCCTCTTCTGCCTCCTCCTATTCCCTTCCTTCTGGCAATCACCATACTGTTGTCTATATCCATGAGTCTTTTCTTTTTTTCCCTTAATCCCTCCACCCTTATCACCCAGCCCCCAATCCCTTCCCCTCTGATGGTTGTCAGTCTGTTCTCTGTATCCATGAGTCTGTCTCCACTGTGTTTGTTAGTTTATTTTGTTCATTAGATTTCACACTTAAGTGAAGTCATATGGTACTTGTCCTTCTCTGACTGGCTTATTTCTCTTAGCATAATAGTCTCCAGGTCCACTCATGCTGTTGCAAAGATGTCCTCTTTTTTATGGCTGAGTAGTATTCCACTGGGTAAATGTAAATGTGCTACAGCTCTTTTATCTACTCATTTACTGATGGGCATTTGAACTGCTTCCAAATTGTGGCTAGTCTAAATAATGCTGGAATGAACATAGAGGTGCATGTATTATCAGAAGTGGAATTGGATATGCTCCAGAAGTGCCATCACTGGGTCATAAGACAGCTCCATTTTTAATTTTTAGGATAACTCCATACTGCTTTTCACAGTGGCTGCACCAGTCTATATTCCCACCCACAGTGCATGAGAATTCCCTTTTCTGTATATCCTCACCAACGCTTGTTCTTTTATTGATGATAGCCATTCTGATGGATGTGAGATGATATCTCATCGTGGTTTTAACTTGCATTTCTCTGATGAATAGTGACATTGAGCATCTTGTCATGTGTCTATTGGCCATTTGTATGTCCTTCTTGGAGAAGTGTCTACTCAGGTCCTTCACCCATTTCTTAATTGGATTTTTTTTGGTGTTGAGTTTTATAAGTTCCTCATAAATTTTGGATATTAAACCCTTATCAGATATATGGGTGAATATGTTCTCCCACTCAGTGAATTATCTCTTCACTTTGTTGATGGTTTGTTTCCTTTGCTGTGCAAATACTTTTTAGTTTGGTGTAGTTCCATTTGTTTATTTTTTCTTTTGTTTCTCTTGCCTAAAGCAATGTATCAGAAAAAATATTGCTATGGAAGATGTCTGAGATGTTATTGCCTAAGTTTTCTTCTAGGATTTTATGGTTTTAAATCTAACATTTAAGTCTTTCATTCATTTTGAGTTTATTCTAGTGTATGGTGTTAAGAAGTTGGTCTAGTTTCAATTTTTTTGCACATATCTGTTCAAAATTTTCCCAACATCATTTATTGAATAAACTATTTTTACCCCATTGTACATTCTTGCTTCCTTTGTCAAATATTAACTGACCATAAAGGTGTGAGTTTATTTTTGAGCTCTTTATTTCTGTTCCATTGATCTATGTGTCTGTTTTTATGCCAGTACCAGGCTGTTTTGATGATTATTACCTTGTAGTATAGTTTGATATTAGGTAGTGTGATTTCTCCAACATTGTTGTTCTTTCTCAGGATTGCTGTTGCTGTGTGGGATCTTTTGTGGTTCCATATAAAATTTTTAAATATTTGTTCTAGTTCAGTGAACTATATTATTGGAAACTTGATAGGAATTGTGTTGAATCTATAGATTGCTTTGGGTAGTATGGACATTTTAATGATGTTAATTCTTCTTATCCATGAATATGGTATATGCCTCCACTTATTTGTATCTTCTTCAGTTTCTTTCTTCAGTGTCTTACAATTTTCCAAATACAGATCTTTTACATCTAGTTAAATTTATTCCTAGTTATTTTATGTTTTTTGAAGCAATTATAAATGGGATCATTTTCTTAGTTTCCCCTTCAGATACCTCATTATTGGTACAAAAATGCAACTGATTTCTGGATATTTATTTTGTATTTTGCTACTTTATTGAATTCATTTATTAGTCCTAGTAGTTTTTTCTTTTCTTTTTGTTTGTTTGTTTGTTTGTTTGTTTTTGTGTGGAGTCATTAGGGTTTTCTATATACAGTATCATGTGATCTGCAAATAATGAGTTTTACTACTTTCTTTCTTATTTGAATGCCTTTTATTTCTTCTTCTTGTCTGATTGCTGTGGCTAGGACTTCCAGAGCTATGGTGAATGAGAGTGGTTAAAGCAGACCATCCCTGTCTCATTCCCAATAAGGGAAACACTTTTAGTTTTTGCTTATTTGGTATGATGTTGATGTTGGTTGTGGGTTTGTCGTATATGGTTTTTATTACATGGAGGTATGGTCCCCAATTTCCCCTTTGCTCAGAGTTTTTATCATAAATGGGTCCTGGATTTTATTAAATGCTTTTTCTGGTGTTAGATTTAAATGTGGAAACTTTGGTTCTCGTTTAAGATGACTACAGACATGAAATATTTTTGATCTTCTGCAAGAAGATGTGATTTTTAAACAAACTTGTAGGCAAGCGGAGAGATCGCAGGGTTAGGAAGCAAGGGCTGCGTGGCCCTAAATGAGTCTTTCATTTGGTGGCTGTTGAGGACTTTCCAGGGCTTTGCTCGAACTGGCCCTGCCCCAACCCTGGCAGTCTAGGCTCAGGGGTCAGTGATCCTTCTAGAACCTAACTCCACGATGGGTCCTTACGTCCTCGCACTCTTCCCTTGCTCACTGAGACACACTGAGCTCCCCACTGGCTGTGGACACCCGACCACTCTCCCACCTCCAGGCTTTTGCAGGACGGTCACAGCCGTGATTCTAGAACTGTATTCGCCAGGATTGGACTTCACAGTGAGAGGCAGCAAGTGTCCCTGTGTAAGGGCAGTGCTTTAAGCTGTTTTGGGGAAGGCACCACACAGACACATGTGACAGCACTGTTTTAACCCTTCTGGTGTTAATGGCTGCCTTTGGAAACCGGTTCAGTTACAGATATGGCACGAAATGAGCACTTTCCTCTCTGCAAATGCTGGGGTCCATTCCCTCATTCCTAACTCCAGACTCTGCTTTTGAAAACCAGTACAAGCTTCCGTTCCAGAGATGGTTCACTCTGCTCTCGCTGCCCCAGCAGCTCAGCACATCCATCCCTCAAAACTCAGCTGTCAGTACCTTCTCACAATTTTTATTGCTGTATTTATTGCCTTGGTTACTAATTGTTTTGCTAGTAAGATTTTTTTCAAACCATTGATATTCCAATTAGTTGCTAATGTGTCTTGTTTAGCTCTGGAGAATTTAAAATTAGTACCCTGCTAATCAACCCATGATTGCCTTCTGCAGCATAGATAAGGAAAAAAAATATTTCTTGTGTAAACCAGAAGTAAATGTCCTATCTTTCCAGTTCCATTAACTGAAGTCTTTTCTTTAAAGTGGCGGGCTTCTTTGTAACTTTCTAAATGTATATAATTATAGCAGTAGAAGGTTATGATTACAACACATGTACTTTCATTGTACAAAATTTGGCAAACACAGAAAAGCAATTAAAAATCAAATGTATTAGTAATCCTACCACTCAGTGCTAACAATATTAATATTTTATGTATATCATATATGTATATCATTTATATACATATATATAGCTATAATGTATTTCCTTTTAAAAACACATAATTAAGATCTCACTGTTCTACAAACTTCTTTATTATTTAAATAATGTTGCACATACTTTCCCGTGTCACTAAGTATTCTGTAACATGTAAGGGCTGCACTGTGTTGTGTCCCGTGAGTAGACCATAATTCCTTTAACTAATACCTCAATGATAGGCAGATTTTTTGCTGATATAAAAAAAATGGTATGTTTGTACCATTGGTATAGCATCTTGTTTACCTTCTTAATTGTCTCCTCAACTAAATCCTAACTGTGGGATTTCTAGTCAAAGGAAGCAGGCAGGGTTCTGTACCCTCTAACTTTCTGCTGTGACCCTAGCAGTGTTTTAGAGGGCTTATTCCCCCATCTTTCCTGAATTCTGTGTTTTGTTTAGTCTTCGCCAACCTGTTGGATGCCAAAAGGAATTTTATTATTTTAATTTGCATTTTGAGAGTTTTCAGAAATGGATTCATTAGCCATATGTAATGGCTCTTTTGTAGAATGTCTAGCCAATTTATGTTCTTTGCCCAGTTGGAATGTTTTCTTTTCTTTTAATGATTTATAATTAACTATAAATTATTCCTATATCACATTTGTTGCCAATCTGATTTTTAATGACCTCGTAGTCATATTTAGAGTATTTAGGGGAAACTTCAATTCTTATTAACCAGTCCATCAGTTTTTTTCTTTTTTCTACCCTCCCTTTTCTTATATGTTTAGAATAGCTTTACCAGCCCAAGATTAAATATGTACCTATATTTTTTCTGGTACTTATTTGCTATTACTTTTTACATTTAACATTTGCAATTTACTTTGGTGTAAGAAATGAGGTAGGAACTCCAACATTCTCCCTCAACCAATCAGCTGACCCAGAACTGCACGATGGGCGGGCAGGTACTCTGCTTCTCCCACCTGCGACGCTCTGATACACTGAATAGCCGCAGATCCTGACAGTTCTAGTCTCTCCACTCTGTTCTATTGACAGTCTGTTTGCTTGCAGTTAGATACATCTTAATTATTATAGCTGTGAGTTTTAATACTTCTTCTCACCATACATACACTTCCCAGAATAATCTTGGCCACTCTTAAACATTCATTGTTATACATGAACTTTTGAGTTATTTATTCAAGTTCTCCTAGTTTTTTTTTTATTGGGCTTACAGTGGATTTATAGATTAATAGAAAAAGAATTGACATCTTTATAATAGTGAGTCATCCTATTGAAGAATGAGGTATTCTCATTCAATTTATTCAAACATTTCTTTTCTGTCCTGACTGATGTGCCTCAGCAGGTTGGGCATCATCCCACAAACGTAAAGGTCACCCATCTGATGCCTGGTCAGGGCACATGCCTGGGTTGCGGGCCAGGTACTCAGTCGGGGACGCACAAGAGGCAAGCGATTGATGTTTCTCTCGTGCATCAATGTTTCTCTCCCTCTCTTTCTCCCTCCCTTCCCTTCTCTCTAAAAATAAAAAAAAAATCTTTAAAAAATTGTTTTTATTCTTCAGTAAAACTCAAGGGTTTTATAGGGGGCAGGCGTTGTTCTTAAGTAATTATTCAAGTTTTATTTCCAATGCATATCATGCTAAGTTTATTCCTAGGTACTTTTATTTTTCCTGGCAATTTTCAAGTTCTCTTAAAGAGGCAGTAGGTTTTGAACAGTCTTTTTCATTTTGCCACAATGCTGTACACAGATAATATAATAAAAAGCACCACAAAAACCTTGTATCAATTTTAGCCCTTTTTAGTAGGAAATATTCTCAAAGATAAATATTGTGGCTTAGAGCACAGCCATTTTTTCCCTTAAAAATTCAACTTCAATCCATTTTCAATCTAGACTGTTTTTGAATAAAAATAGACAGACACATTTTAATGTAAAATCAATTCTAAGTAGAATCAATCATCAGGGCACTGCACTGAGTGTTACAGCCTCATGCCGAACAGCTCATTAAATCCTAGAAAATTATCCAAACTTTACAGATGTAACCATCACTCAACAGAAGCCATTATCCACACAAGTGGAGTCAGAATCATTTAAAGTGATAGAGAAAAGGAATGGAAAGAACAGAAACAACTTTGTGCAGTTTTTCTATTGTCCCACTGATGCATAAGCAATTAAACTTTAAAGAATTGCCATTATATACATTAACATAAAAGCAATCTAATTCTTCTCTGGAACCTTAGTCCTCAAAAAAAAATACCCAAAATACTTCATATTATTTTGACTGTGCATTTTAATATGTTTACTATAATTTAAAAACTGACAGGCAAAATAATTTATTACTAGATATTGTCTGTTATAGACTTATTGCAATACTTTCTCTGCATACGAGCTCCTCACTGATACCTCGGTAGACACATTACCTTACCTCTTGTTCTAATTTAAAAGCCAAGTCACAGAAATAGTCTGTTGCCTCAATTTTCAGCGAGTGCGACCTGACCCAAATCAAAGGTATTATTGTAATTGACTTAGTGTTATAACTCGTACCACCCCTCAAACTAGGTGCAGTGAATTTGAGCTTTGGGTCTTAATGAGCAGCAGCATCCAGGTGCAGACATCATCCCTGAAGACCCTTGTAAAAGTTATTTCTGTGCTGTTTAAAGGACACATTATTTGAAGTGGACATACAATTCTGAGGTTACAAAACTCTAATGTTACCACTGAGCCCATGGTGCCAGATCTACTTATCTTAGAGAATGCTTATGTAGCAGGAAAAATGCAGACTGAGAGTAAAATGAGATGCTGTTTAATCCCTGTCAGCCTGGCTCAGCTGGTTCAGGAGTGAGACGCTGGAGGCGACTGGGACCACCCCACGGTTACGGGGGCACGTGTCGGCACAGGATTGAAAAATCCTGAAGTAGATTTTTCATCCTCTTTGACCCAGGCATTTTCATTCTAAGATTTCTCCTAGTGAAATAATCATAGAAATTCACAAAGTTTTACATGTGATGAATTAACTATGTTCATTATAGCACTGTTGATAATAATGAAGTACTGAAAACCACCCCAAAAAGCTGTAATAAAATAATTGGTTGAATAAATTTCACATGATGGGAAATCCTGCAACCATTATAAATGATGATGTAAAGCTACAATTTTTTAAAACTCTCACCTGAGGTTATGTTTGTTGATTTGAGAGAGAGAGAGAGAAGCATCGATTGGTTGCCTCCTATTCATACCCTAATTGGGCATCAAACCCACAACCTTTTGGTGTAAGGGATGACACTCTAACCAGCTGAGCCACCTGGCCAGGGCAAGCTACATTTATTCAGATACAAAGAAGGTAACAATGTAATGACCTCCACACTGTTCAATCCAATCAGGGCTCACTTCTCATTGCTGTACTTCCTGTGGTTCCAGGACACCACATCCCCTGGCTTTTCTGCAGCCTCCATGGCCACGCCTCCTCCCCCTGCTGTGGAGGGGCACCGGGTCCTCTCTGTCTATACGCACTCCTTTCGGTAAACTCAGTTGAAGTCACATGGCTTTATGAATATACATGTGTGGACAATTCTAAAATTTGTATCTCCAACCAAGCCTTCTCTTTCAAACTCCAGATTCCCTTATCCAACTGCCTGCTTAACATTGCCCCTTGAATATTTAATAGATGTTTCAACAGGTTTAAAATTGAACTCCTAATCTTTCCCCACAAACTGGCTCTACCCACAGACTTTCCAGTCTCAGCTAATGACAACTGCATTCTCCTAGTTGCTCAAGCCAAAAGCCTGCTAGTCATCTCTGATGTCTCACTTTTTCTCACACCCTACACCTACGTTATCAGTAAATCCTGTTGGCTGTACCTTCCTCTCCACCCCGCAAGCCGCCATCATCTGTCACCTAGATCACTGTGGTAACTCCTAACTGCTGTCCCCGTTCCAACTCTTGCCCTGCACCATCTTTTCTCAACACAGCAGCTGTATTTTAATACGTAAGTCAGGTCCTTGTCACTCCTCTGTTCCCGGGTCTGCAGTATGTCCGGTTTCACTCCATGTGAAAAGCCCATGTCCATCAGGCCTTTTCCTCCGCTTCTATTTCCAGTGTTGCACAAGCCTTTCTGATATTCTCTAAACCCACCAGGCATGTGAGCAAAGGGCTTTAGTTAGGCTCAGTCTGAATTTCAGCTCTATTACTAGTATGTCTCCAAACTTAGTTTCCCATCTGCAAAATGGGAATCACGTACCATCTACCTCACAGGATTAAGGTGGGAGTACTTTTTAACCTTAAAACCTTCTGTAAATACAGGGTTTTTATAATTTTCAAATACGACCTCTAAAACTTGTCTTGCTTTCCTTGAGAATTTTTTATTTCTAGTCCCATGTTTATATATGATCAATTCAGACAAGTTCTAATATGTGGATTCTTTTACACCAGGCACTCTGGGGATTTGAGAGTAGCCAAGTCATGTTCTTTCAAAGAATTTATATGCTAGAAGTGAGACTGTTAGAAACAAAAAAAAATGCATAAAGTATCACAGGTGCTCTGATAAAAATATAGTATATATGATTAACAGAGTGTTCAAATCTCCTAGGAGTGACAGGGAGAAGTGGGAGACTGAAAAAGGGGAATCCATAAAAAGTTTTATAGAAGTGACTTTGTATTGAATTCTACAAGATGGTAGGTAGGGTTAGGTAGACAGGTAGGCAAAATTCAAAGCCTCCCTAATTACTCCTATCTCATACATTTAAAGCACACCTGATATTTATCAAAATTTTAATTAATTCTTTTAAGGGTGATTATTCATCACTGATCTCACCCACCCAATTTAAATCTTCCCAGAGAGGCTCCATGTCATTTGTATTACTTCGTGTTCCTTAGAGTTCAGCATAGTTCCTGGACAGATGGACAAGAGGGAGGGAGGGAGGACGGAAGGAAGGAAGGAAGGAAGGAAGGAGGGAGGGAAGGAAGGAAGGAAGGAAGGAAGGAGGGAGGGAGGGAGGGAGGGAGGGAGGGAGGGAGGGAGGGAGGGAGGGAGGGAGGGAAGGAAGGATAAGTGAATATAGGAAGATCAAGTCATGGTGAAGAGCACAGGTCTGGGAATCTAATGGTTCTGGTTGGAATTCCAGGTCTACCGCTTACCAGCTGTATGACCTTGAACAACTTACTTAACCTCTCTGTGCTTCAGTTCCCTTACCTATAAAATGAAGATAGTAACAGTTACGTTTTTATAAGGTTGTTGAGGATTTACTGAAATAGTTCCTGGACGGGGCTTTGCACATTTGCTGGGACTTGTTGTGAATGCTAATTCTATCCCCCAGGGTTCTCACATCCTTAGGCCAGTTACAAGGACTGTCAGATAAAAGTTACAGCTTTCCCTCTGTCCACCAGTTAAGTCTTTCAAGTATCATAGCAAGTTAGGGCCTTTGGTTTTGCTTTGTTTTGTTTTGCTTTGTTTCATTTTGTTTTGTTTTGCAACATGTGTTTCTTATATAGATATAAACACACACATGTGCACACACACAGAGTTTTAAGAAGTGACCACTAGAAACAATGCCTGCAGCAAACTGCTTTATCTGTGTTACTCAGTTTGGAGGACACTTGTATTTCAGGCTTGTGCTTGGCTATCTTTCTGACCCAAGTGAGGACATTCAGGATCCAGTGAGTGACAAATTCTTCAAGGAGATATGGGTTTCAACAGCAGCTCGAAACGCTACAATTTATGACAAGGTAAGTCTCACATATCCCTGCCCTTTTTTTCATTGAATATCATCACCAAAGCACATCATTATTTCTGCATATTATTGGAATCACTATATTCTTAATGAGTGTAAAAAACAACATACAAGGTCTGTCCAGAATGTATCCAGCCATGTACTATGAGAACTAGAGGCATTTACTGAAGAAGGTACAAGATACACGAAACATTGTACATAGGACAATGACACCTCAGTCCCCTTCAAAGTAGGCACCTTGGGACCTCACATAGTTCTAATTGCCATTAGCTGCACCATTGTATTTTCCTGAATCTCATCAATGGTCTAAAATCTCTTCCCTTTCAAAGGTGATTATAGTTTTGGGAAAAGCCAGAAGTCACAGGGTGCCAAATAGTGGGGCTGCGTCACCTGGGTGATTTGATGTTTCACCAAAAAGTTCTGCATGAGAGCAGGCTCATTGTTGTGGTGAAGCTGCCAATACCAGATGCCCATAGCTGCATCCTTCTGAATCATCCAAATAGTTTCTGCAGAGGAATATTCAAGCTTAACATAAAATTTGACGCAGATTCCTTGCTTTACTCAGTCATTTTGAATGCAACAACCACACAGTATACATGCTCACTCAACAGCATCTACTACCCTCACTGACTAGTACAGTGAAGTCATCATTGCTCATGCATACATATTCCAAACCACTCTCCTTGGCTGCCAGGTTACGTTGATGTCATGCAAACTATTCCCGTTATCTTAATAATGGCTGGATTTTTTCTGGACAGACCTCATATCTCCAAGTTGTACTAAAGTACCTCTTAATAGACATTAGAAAACAAAGTGGCAAAAAGCATCATAGATGATGGTTTAGAAGAGACTTCAGTGGCATTCTGATCTCTCATCTGATCCAGGAATCCATCAGGATCATCCTTAGCAGGTGGTTACCCAGCCTTTTTACATGTCTGATGACAAAGAGAAAAGAGGCAAGAGAGGTCAAAAAATGAGTCAGACCTGGGTCCAACCCATCTCACCCAGTTGCGGGTGATACAACTGTGTACAGTGACTTAACATTCTGAGCCTCTCACTCTTCTATAATTGAGGAAGAATATTTACTAGGGTACTTACAAGGATAAAGAATAGTCTATTACCGCTAAATGTGTTTATCACATAGTGCATGGTAAGTGGTATCCATCCCTGTAATGAAGCTTAGTAATAATGAGACATTTTCTGTTTTGGACAGCTCTAACTTTGGAAAGGTATTTTAAAACCCACCCCATTTGTTAGGGAGGTCAAATGCACTTCCTGGTAAGTTCTATCCATTGATTATGTACAAGAGTTAAGGGTTGTCTCACAGTGAAACAGGTTACTTCACAAAGTAGCCAGCTTTCTGTCAGAGCAAATATTTGGGCTGAGATCTATTGACTGTCAGATTCGGTACGAGTGTGTTCTTCTCCAGGACTTGTGGAGTCCCTTCCAGCACAGGACTTCATCATTCCTAAGAAACATGGTGACTACATAGCCTTGTTTCGTGCTGAGAGTCAGGCCATGATCAAATAGGTCATGTGCAGGGAGTCTTTCAAAACACCGTTTGTAAAATGCCGCGGACAGCTTGTTTGGATCCTGGATTGGGGGGATAGCAGCTATCGAAGACATTTTAGAGTAAATCTGAGTGTGGACCCTGTCTTAAATGACATGCAATTGATTTTCTGAGGTGCGAGAATAGCATTGTGATTATATAGACACACGCCTTTGTTCTTAAGGAGCTCATGCTGAAGTATTCAGAAGTGAAGTGTTATGATGTCTGAAACTCATTTTCAACTAGCAAAATAAATATGATTGATAACTGTAAGTCAAGGTACAGATAGGAACATTTTCCAAAATAAAAAGAGAAAATAAATTATGCAATTTTCCTCTTAAGCTAGAACCTCCATTGAAAGTAAAGATTGATTATTATCCAAAAAAAATATCATCAGTGAAATTCCTTACCAAGAGCTTGACTTTATCCAGGGGTTAATAATTTGTGCGGATCAGATATAGGAATCTATCTCTGACTTTTATTTTTGGAAGGAAGCAGATCTGGCAGTTTCTTTGTAGGAAATAAGAAAAGCAACTCTTTTGTATTTAACCAGGTGTTCCGGTGCCTTCCCAGTGATGAAGTACACAATTTAATTCAGCTCAGAGACTTTATAACCAAGCCCATATTGGCAAAGGAAGACCCCGTCAGAGCTGAGGAAGAACTGAAAAAGATCCGTGGGTTCTTGGTGCAGTTCCCCTTTTATTTCTTGGCTGCAGAAAGCCTCCTGCCTTCTGTTGGAACCAAAGAAGCCATAGTGCCCATGGAGGTTTGGACCTAAGAGTTATCGGCTCAGAGACTTCCACCTGGAGAATGCACCCAACACGGTGACTGTCAGGATCCCCAACTACCCAGAACAGCCCAAAGCACTCTTGTACCCAACCCACAGACACTTCTGGTTGGCTGGGAAGGGCTGCAGTCCCACTGATGTAAGGACGTTGAATCTCATCGGGGCTTTCTCATTCCTCCTGCCTATCCTGTGAGAAAGGGACTGCATTTTTACTGGCAGCATCTACTCAACGACTTAAACGCATACTCCAAAGTGCCTTTTCTTCACTAACAAGAATGGACCTCTAACGGTGATCTAGGTTGCCAGAAGTTGTCTGAACCTCCTTGTTCTTCTTGGACCTTCATTTATGCAGCTAATGTCTGCTGGGCCTGCCCTCATTTCATAGTCCAGGCACTGTTTGAGATCTTGCTTGTTGTTAGAAGATACGGTGATGCTGCTGCAAGGTTCTTCCAGGCTACGTGGAATGCCCTTGCCCCTCTGGTCCTGAAGTGGCAGTGTGCACTCCAGCAAGGGTGTGGTCATCACTCCTTTTCAGTGACCGGCAGACAGTAAAGAGTTTAGTCTTCACAGCAGTCTGCACTAGGCAGTTCTGGTAACATCGATGCTATATAATGTATATCCTGACACCACAGAGTAACAGGAAGGAGTTAAATTCAGTTATTGAGGCAGGGATTTCACTTGGCCTCCAAAGGCACTGACAAGATGTGTCCCCCTGATAGGGCCCACCTGATCAAATTTGGAAACCTGCATAGGATATCTGATTACACAGCAACTGATAAAACGCAAACCGGGAGCACGCAGCCTTCAGAAACCTTTGGGGGGGGCGGGGGGAGGGGATGGTATCTGATCCAGATAAGAAGATTCCTCAGAGTCCTATAAAATTTCCTATCATTCTCAGCTGCTAGATTGATGGAAATTTGAGTTTTTATATTTCAAAATGAAGCCAGTGAAGGCAGTTTGTCTTTCAAGAGAATCAGAGGTTTCCTAACTCGTGTCGCAGTTAACAAGCGTGAGCCTGACCTTTTTTGACATTCAGCTCTCTAGCTGTGTTATCTTCTTAAAGAAAAATCAATTGATTGCAAAGTATGTGCTACTTCGCTTGCTTTATTAAATATATATTAACATTCCACCTGGAGGATAGAGGTAAGGATATTCATTTATTCATATTGTTGTAATCTGTGAATTGTTCTGGAAACCATTTTTTTTTCCTTTTTGGGCAAGAGTAACCTTTGGTATACCATAGCTCTAATTTTACTGAGCAGAGCTGTTCTTAGAGCCGGAAGAGCTAATGTGGGCTCCCAAAAGGCCTGTGTCCATAAAACACGGGGTAGGTGCACTGCTTACATGTCTCTGTGTTGCCCGGACAGGATCTCCTGTGGGTTGTTCTTCAAAGAAGAGAGGACCCACCCCCTTGTTTGTGTGGAGCTCACAGTCCAGTGGAGAAGGCTAAACAGGGGCACAGAGTCAGTGATCTGGGTCAGTAGGAGAGACACAGCGTCACACCCAGGAAAGGCTTTCACACTTAAAGAACTTTTCACAAATGGAGTGAGACTATGTAAACCACAGTGGAAATGAGTAGCCTTTTATGAATGAGTAACTTTATTCTCAGATTGCTAATAAGGAAACAAGAATTCACTCTCCAGCAGTTGTAAATAGAACATTTGCTATTTATGAAAGTTTAGATTGGCATTTAAAGTGTTGAGTGTATGTGGAATACGTGGAATACGTAAGGATTTCTTATAGTTCATTTTTAACCATTTTTTAAACTGAAGAACAGTCAACAGACTGGCTCTGGATTTTGTGTAAACCCATGACAAAAGATAAGAGCCTAAAAGGACCCTTGCCCTTTTAAAAAAATTACTTAATTCAACCTTCCCCCATTTTATAGATGAGGAAACTGAGGCCCAGAGTGGTCAAAGGACTTAATTAAATGTACCCAACTTTGGTGAACCTGGGAGTAGTGAAATTCCTACAGTCCATCATTGGCCTCTCCTTTCACTTTGTCATGGATTTCAGATAGGACATCTCTAAGCCATTTTGAAACCCTGTGATACTATGTATTTAGGTGCTGGTCTGTCTCCCCTGCTAGAACATAAGCTCTCCAGGACGGACAGTTTCCTGTGTGTTGTTCATAGTGTATCCCCAGAGCTTGGAACCGTGCTTAGCATACATGAGGTGCTCCATAAATGTTTGCTGGGTGAAGGAAGGAGGTGGAGGAGAGAGCTAATGAAATGAGGAACTTACAGTCTCAGACAAGAAATCTAACTGCGGGCTCCTATGGCGTTTTTCTCCTACTACGTTTTCTCAAAGGCAAAATGCTCATCTGCAAAGATGAGGGGATACAAGATCTGCTTGGATGGGGTTTATGGGAAAGCCAGTGCAGTAATTGCCTGTTTTGTAGTAGCAGTTTACACTGTGCAGCATTCTGCCAAAATTGTATGAGATGTGGATGTGAAATGTATTGTGTGGCCTAATTACCCTTCCTTCTCTGACACCATGACTACCAGTAGAAGCTCAGATAATTTAACCTTGCAATGTCTGGCATAAACTTGAAAATGCAAATGACCCAAAGCCTTGAAAAACTATTATGAATCAGCTCAACGTTTCAAATTGACTGTAATCTTTCTGAACACATTTAATGCTGTACCTGACACTCTGATCATCTGCAATAATTTTTGTTTTCAAGAAGGAAAATTCTATGATCTTAAGAAATGAAGGGTAAGAAATGGTCATAGCCTTAATATTAAAGATATTCAGATTGTCCAAGCCTAGGCGTTGGGAGGATGTTCAACACAGCAGGTCTGGTGCAGGCATTTGCTCTTTATCAAGTGTCTACTCAGTGACTCACCCTTCAGAGGGATGTTCTGAGTTCTCAGCCACAATGCATCACAGAGAGGGCCAGGGGACTGGTCGTTAGGTGATTAAGTGGGTTGTTGTGAAACAAAATATTGGTCTTATTTCCACCTTTGGAAGAAAATTTTATCTGTAGTCAAAAATGAGCAGTTAATCTCATATGTAATCACTTGGGAAACTATAATACGTGGTGAGTGAACAACCTCTCCAGATGAAAACAGTGGGCCCAGAAATCGCTGCCGATGGAAGACTACCGGCGGAACAGAGAGTACGCACTGCACGTCATGAAGAACTGGGTCTTTCTGCATCTCCTCATTCCTCATTCCCTCAGCCTTTGCCCACAACCACAGTGCCTCCTCGTTGCCATTTTAGAGGACGACAAAATGTCTCCTGAAAAGAAACAGAATTAGGCCTCTACAGTGAATCTTCAATTTAACTTATAAGTGACTGACACAATGTTATTTGTTAACAGAGATAATCATTCTTTGTTGACATCCCTGGTCTGATATGCCACTTGAGTATATTGAGGTGCCTGTCACCCTGTGTAGCAGAGCTGAAGAAGACCCTCTGTGACTTTTCTTCCCTCTTATTCTCTCTTGTATAAAGTGAGCAAATGCTAAAGATTTTAAGGATACTTTGGAATATATTTTCATTTCCTTGAAGGTCCTCTGAGGCCAATTACTATTGGCAGTTTAGAAGTATAAAATGGATGTTACCAGGCATAGGCCTTGCGAAATTCTTGAATCTGGAAATTCACTGGAAAAGGAGTTTATCAGCATCTATCAAAAAGTTGCAGGTGAAGAATCAATGGATTTGCATTATTTGGGGATGGGGGGCAAATACCATAATGTGATTCCTAATGGCATTTAATTCATATGTGAGGTATTTCTGGCTTTGACTTGAGACTGGAAGAATTCATTAAAGGGACCAAAAAATTTATGGCTTAATTTCTTTTAATTTTCTTTTATACCATTTTAACTTCTAACTTAAAAACAAAAAGTAATCAGACATAGGATAAGTGAAAACTCACAATAATAACTTTAAGTTTTAAAGTCAGACTGGGTGGCACTCCAACCCAAATGCATGCTTCCTTACCCTTTCCAGTTCCCAACTAGCTACAATTGTTTCTTTTATTCTAGATAAATGCTTTTAGGTGAATTTCGTCTCAGTTTGATGCTGGGAAACATAACATCATGCCTTCTAAACTTAGACTCCACTTGGATTCTTCCCATAAAGTGATCTGGACCAAAGGCACTGACATTGTCGTCAGCCATTCTCAAGAATTCAGACCAGCGCACTGAGGCTGGAGTGCACGTCTCTCTCACACAAAAACCAGTACTTGGTGATAAGCATCCATTCAGAGTATTCAGACGTGGGCAGAACTCAAGCTCCTATAGCCTCACCATTACAGCTGGGCTTCCTTTTTTTGTAAAGTTTTATTTGAACACAGCCATGCCTGTTCACTTACCTGTCTTCATGTAAATGAATCCACAAATCGTCTCCCTAGAGGAAGGGTCACTAAGCTTTTTTTAAAAGATGGTAAGGTACAGCAAAGAATGTCCAGACAGAGTACCTCGACCAAACAGATTTGAGTGAGTTTTAATCCCTTCCATAAACAAGGTTTCCAAGTCTCTGTATCTCAGAGCCCAACATTCTGCAATAGATTTATTCTAAGAACAGGGTGAAGTCCTTTCAGGAATGAAAATCACGTTTTTTGGTTCTGGAAAGAGATGTTGCCAGCTAAAGCAGGTTCTCCCAGCTGTGCACTCAGAGGCCAGCATGGTTGATGGTGTTTACATCTAACATGTTACATATAAAGGCTGGTGGAGAGGCGTAGGAGTTTGTTTTCAGAATGAGAACTGTGAACTTAAGACACTCAGTTCCCCTGAATTTTTCTTCTGTGAAGCACTGGAAACAATAAATATATCTATTCTCTACTTCACAATCAATACTTTCTATGCTGGGTCCCTTAACTGCTTTTTTTTAAATGTAAATAATCATTCATCAATTAAAAGTATGAAATCAGCAGCGACCCTCTGTTTGAAAGCAAGAGTCCTCATTGTGCACGTGGGGTTCTCAGAGCCAGCGTGCTGTCTGCCTGAGCTAGAGACAGGAATGTGTGCCTGTGGAACCCTTCCCCGCATGCTACCGAGGCTGACTCCAGAGTCACCGCGCGCGGCCCCTCCTGCTCCCAGTCCTCTCATCCGTGACGGGTGAGATGCAGCTGGTTTCTTCTCAAAGACCAACATGCCATTAGAATGGCACAGCATGAGCGAGGACCAGCAGGGTGCTGGGGCGCACCAGTGAACCAGTCGGAGCAGGTGCCCCGCCTTCGTGGTGCTCACACCATAGTGGAGAGTGCAAAGTGCCCTCCATTCTCACGATAGCAGAGAGCCTGAAGTGAGGGGTATTTGGGGGAACACTGTCCAGCTATCAGGAAAGACGAAATACCGCCATTTGCAACAACAGGGATGGATCTTGAGACTATCACGCTAAGTGAAACAAGTCAGATGAAAAAAGTCAAGAACCATATCATTTCACTCAAATGTGGGATATAAAACTGAAAGCAGCAAAGAACAAATAAGACAGACAAAACTCACAGACACGGGCAACACTGTGGTGATTACGAGGGGGAAAGGGGTAGGGGGCGTGTAGTAAAGGGTAAAGGGGGTCAAATATGGGATCTGGCAGAAGTAACCCCTGTTTGGGTATGGTTGGTGGGGTAATAATGTGGGTGTAATAATTTATAGTTTGAATTTGAACATTTCGCCTAAAATGTCACATGGTGTGCTTGAGTGTGATAGTATTATGTTACTGAATCACATGCTTATGATTTTGTAATAAAAAAGTGAGTTATTGTGCAGGACCCTATACATGGTGACAGAATGAGATTTTACTTCCGGCGGTGAGCACACCATGGTGTGTCATAGAATTTTACACTTGAGACTCGTGCGATTTTATTAACCAGGGTCACCCAATAAATTTAATACACTTTTTAAAAAGAGGCATTTGGATACAAGTGTTGAATTTTACCAAGCTGAGAACAACCAAAACTAGAATAAGATAAATGCTGGTCTCTGAGGACACGAGAGGAGGAACTAGGGGACAACCATGTCACCACAACTACCGATACCAATAACAATAGCTAACGTTAGGGGCTTCATTGGTCAGGGCCCCTTCCCAGGCAATCCCTCTCTCCAAAGCAAGCTCAGGTGGTTAGTCACCCGAAAAGCAGGCCAGCACACCTGCAGACGGCCACCTACGGTTTCCTTCTCTCAGGAGAAGCTAAAGCTCTTTTTCCAGGGGTCACGCCTGTCTCCTCTATAGCTTCCATCTTCAGCAATCAGTATGACATTGACATAACCCCTTCGATAGCTGGTATTTTGTTATTTCCTCCAGAAAAGTAGTGTGGTGGGTCGGGGGCAGACAGAGGTGGAATGGGGCAGGGTTCTATGGAAGGAGCTCAGACCTTTTGAAGTACAGAAATTCCTGGCTGGGAGTGGAACAAAGACCTCTTTCTTTGAGTTGGAAGCAGCTAAAAAGCTAGAACATACTAGGTAATTAAAAAAATATTTTTTTCATAACTCGTCTTATTAGAATTAACGATTCTGGTTAGAAATCCAAGTAAGAAAGCCAGCATGAACCAGAAAGTTCTCTTGCTGCTACTCATGATTAACAGGTTTAGACCAATACAACTTCTCTAATTCTCTCTGAGCCTAACTTACCAAAACCCCTCCAACCATGCGGAGGGACCCAGAGCATCTTCTGGCCCTGGCTACACCTGCTCTCTGTCCAGCCCAGTTCTGACTATATTGCCTCCGCATTGGTGCTTAGGACTGGTCCTTAGTTAACGCCTCTGCTGTCCACCAGCTCACCACAACCCAGACTTCTAGAACTCTAGCTTGGAACCTGAACCCTAGAACTGAGCTGATTCGGGATGGAATTAAGATGTATGGGAGAGTCTAATGCTGGCTTCACAAGCAGTTACAGATGGTTAAAGTGCCAACCCAGACCCGGCCCCAAGCTTTGTCCAAATTGCCATGTCCCCAGTCAACTCTATTAGGGAGCCCCTGGGCTGCCTGGGTGGCTCCGGCAGCTTTCCCCTCCTTCTTTAAGCCAGGAGGCTCTGTCAGCGCTGAGGGGCACCCCAGGGTTATTCTGCAAGGCTGACAAGTGAGAATTCGTGCAGCACAAAAGCCGGCTGGCTGTGTGAACAGAGGACTTCTGGTGGAGAAAGAGAAAACTGACAGGTGTTCTTCCCCGAAGTCCTCCGTCTTTCTGGGAGGGAGCGTGTGAAAAAAGGAAGATATTTTCAGAGTGGCTGCATGAGGTAGAATTAATTATATAAATTAAAATCAGAACACACTTCTTCAATTCCCATCCTACATAAATCCGCGTGGAAATTTTTATTTTGATTCTTAAATGATCCAACTATTAATTTTAGATACAGGATATGCTCAGGTTCCTGCAGAAAATGTGACTTTTTATTGTCTAAACAGAGTAAGTGTGAAGATGAAGAGCTGACAGTCCATAGATTAAGGTACTCTCAGTTTCTCCTTCAGTGAGCCCTATGCAATAGCCATCAATATCAGTAACCTATTGTCACAATAATGCCGCTTGACAACTTCAAAATCCAGTGGCTTTAAACAGTGGTCACTCACTCCGTATGTCTACTGGGGGTCAGCTGACCCTGGCTGAGCATGCGTCCAGACCTGTTTTCATGTGTCTCTCCTCTTCCCCCTTGGGCCACAGGCCTGGCCACAACACTTTCTTTTCAAGGTAATGGCAGAAGCAAAGGAAGGCCCCTGAAGACAGAAATGCCCCTTACAGACTAAACTGGAACTGGCAGCTGGTCTCTCTGCCCACATTCCGTTGGTCACACACAGTAAGCCCCACGTTCCAACCCAACACCCATGCATCCAGTGGAAGAATTGCAAAGTCACGTGCAAAGGGTGTGGCTACAAGGCTACAAAAATCGGAGCCGATAACGTACTGAAACATCTAACAGTATCTCACCATGTCAGTTCTGTCTGGTCTTCCTCTGAGTATACCTATAGCGCTCCAAACCCATCTGTGCGTCCTTCTTTGCCTGACTGAGCTGCACTTTTCTGTTGTCGAACAAGCACGTCCAATGACTGTTCCTCCTCAGATTCTGGCTTTCCCCAGCAGAAAGATGTCTGGAACTCAGGGTTACGTGTACCGCTTGGGTGAATACAAAGGCCAGAGCAGCTCATGGAAAACTCATGTGCCCTGCCCCAAATAAAATGAAAACCTTCAAATTGTCTTGGTTTGATTGAAAATTCCCTTGATTTAAGTATTCTGGAGTATGTCGCTGTGTCATTATTAAAGATTATGATTTCACTGAGTAGTTGGAGTATTTTCCTGCGATAGGATATATATTTCATTTCTTTGTTTTCCCAGAGACTTCAGATAGTTCTGGCCCTGCTTCCTGACCACAGGTCACGTGCACAGGCTGACAAGGAGAGGGACAGCAGGAAAGACTATTTAAAACTGGCAATTACTGCACTTGACATATTGCTTATTACTGAGTATTTGCATTCTTCATACTTCCCCTCAAGGGTGTTAAATTTTGATTAAACCCAAGGACCTCTGACTGTCTTCCATAAATAGGAAAAACGCTTAAGTCGTAGGCAATGGTTTTGTATGCAAAATGAGTTACTAACTTACCATGCTAATTATTCCTGGTGTGTATCCCCTTAAGTCCTAAGCAGTCCTTTCAGATTTGCGCTAAATCTTCCCATGGCATTCTGGGTGAGGATATTTTTCTTTAAGGTTCCACTTCCACAAATTGCATCATCTCTAAGGGAAGGTTATATACCCCTCTTCAACAGGATCTTGGGTCAGAAATATCCAGTGAAAAAATGTAAAAGGTTCTCAGGAATAAGCAGAAGTCAATGTCACTGTTTCTGAGTATCGAGGGCACAATCCAGTTCTACAAAGATAACATCAGGACTCACCGTGCACCAGGCTTTGCATGCGCCATTTTAGTGAGTCCTCACAACAGCCCCGGAGGGAGCTGGCATTGCCTTCTAGGGTGCCTGCCTATGAGAACGTTGCCCAGCCAAGGCCTCCTACATGGTGCAGAGGCTGGATTTGGATTCAGATGCATATGAACCCACAATGTATTTTTAACTTCGAAGTGGTCCCTTAACTGTTCTCTGGAAGATGAGGAAGAACTATAATGGGCTCCCAACCTCAGACGCATCACTGAAATCTGCATCTGCTATATATTAGATTGACTCGACAGGAAGAAATTCCTTCAGCACTGTCCTTGGATTTTGCAATTCCATCAAAGCAAAGCCTGCATTAATCCCCCACACTTCTGTATTTCTGCACCAATGTGGTTCAAAGAGTCCCCTGTTTCCCAGGTATAAATATTGAACCCAAGACCCAGATGCCTTCCCCCTGGGCATCTCCAGATCATTTATCCTAATTTTTCTCCCCAATATGCACAATTCACATAATCACTCTTCTACACATTTCAGTTCCTGCCTTTTTCAGTAATAAATTTTTCTTTCTTAAAAAGATGACTTTCACACCAATATTCATAGCAGCGTTGTTCATAATAGCAAAAACCCGGAAACAACTCAAATGTCTGTCAATGATAAATGGACAAATAAAGTGTGCTCTACCAATATAAAGAAACACTATTCAGCAATCAGAAGGAATAAAATACTGATAAATGCTACACCATGAACAAAACCTCAAACACATTGTGCTGAGTGTAAGTAAGACGTCGGCCAAAGAGGAGCACCTGGTTCTGTTCCTGTGGGATGCCCAGCAGAGGCGACTCTGTGGGACACAAAGCAGACTGACTGGTGACCGCCTTGGACTGGGGATTGGAAGGCTGTTTTGTTTTTGGTTTTTTTTCTTAGTTTTTAAGGAGCTTAATTCTGGTTGGAAGGGGGTTAATTTTAAAAGAGGAAGG